TCGCTACGGCAGCCCCGCTGCAAAAGAGGTCTGACACAATGAAGCGAAATTGACTCTTTCCAGAGAAATGGTAGGGAATCGTATCATTCTAAAGGCTTGTCGGATCGTTTCACAATGGTGGCTCAACAAATGACGACATCACATGCATAAAGTAAGCTTTGGTTTGTCGAGTCCGAAGGTAACCAAATGGGCTTAAAGGCCTACCTCACCAGTCCTCGCGATGTAATCGATCTTGCCGCAACCGAAACGATTTCCGTCTTTCCGTGGCTGCCTGTTGGCGGTTGTATCAACTTATGAGATGTCCATCGATTCAGCAATTGAAAGATGTTGCGTGCTCTTTTATTCGATGAGCGATAAAGCGCTAGACTTGGCATGCTTGACGCAATATTTTTTAGGCTCATCTAGCGTCTTCGGATACTCGCGGATCATCTGGCCGAACAGGACCATCATTGTACCCTGCCATAGATATCACGACTTGCGTTGAGATAACTTAAAGTAAAATATCACGCTCACTGTGTGTGAGAGTATTGACTTTATATAGATTGATGAAGCAGTGACTCAACGCAGAGGTACTTAAGCCTATTGGCTCTCGCTTAAAGTCTTTCAGTGCGTAGAAGCAACTTGGCTCCGCCAAACGATTTCCATAGGCCCAATGTTTCGCTTACCTAACAGGGAAAGACGCCGAGAATAACCCTTGCTGCACTAAGTCCACGAGCTATCTTGCGGCAAATGCTGCATCCAACTCTCGAACAATCTCACGAAAGGTTCGTTTTTTTGCAACGATAAGAAGATGTACTGAACCTCAGACGATAACTTTTCGCTGTCGTTGCGGGCTGTCGGCGAGATGCATGATCCCGTGATGCATGAAGTTTGTAGTCGTATCTCTATGCTCATCCAGTAACGTTGATGTCAGCAAGCAGGTTGCAGCCGCCTCATTGATGACCGCACGCATAGGCCACCCACTCGTGGTACGTCAACCAAGAAAATGCTAATTTAATAATTTCACAGTCTCTCTAGGCATCATACCCATCGATCTCATTTTATTTCTTATAATCGAAGTGCTTTTTGCATGTCCGCGCACGCTACACAATTGTCTATACAGGTTTTGACTTGGCGGTTGAAAGGGCAACAAAGTGCTATTAGATGTGAGAGGTTATTCACGACAGGCTCGCTTGCGTCTGAGAAAAGAAACTTGATAAGAATACGGAAAAACTGCCAATAAATTTGAAGAGTCTGCGGTTCCCAAAGCTACATGGATAAACCAAAGGAGTCCAGGAGTTTGTATGTATATGGAGAACACTATGAACCTGCTATGCGAAACGTTAAGTACACTAAGGTTAAACTCTTGAGACTTCTAACTTGAAGTCTTTTTTTAAAGTTCCCCGAAAGTCGCTGGCGCGAGCCACTCACTACAGATCGTAAAGACACGTCGGTCTCATCACCAGTAAAAATTTCCAAGTAAAATCCATCATTCGTACTGATTAATAAGCATGACATTCGTGACGTCATCGAATAATGTCACATGCTCACATGGAATCTGTCGAACTGCAAATCATTTGTTAGTGTTCCCATAATGTGCGTCGGAGGTGATATGTACCATTGAAGTTGTACTTGCGAGGTATGACCCATCCGAACATCTAATAACGGTGATGTCTATCGGTTCCGTTACTGGTAGATACGTACAAACTCAACCTTTGATCGTTTAATTACGTGGGCTTATAGGAGTCAAAGCTTCCTCTGCAAAGTAAATGGCAGCCCTTTGCATTTAGTAGCACATGTCGTGTCACAATCGAGTGATAACATCTCTGCATCCTCTGTGAGCAAATGATCGAGCATCATACTATGATACAAATGGACTATTTCGTAAGCGTATACTTACCGCTGATCCTAACTGGATCCCGGAACTGGTGACTAAAGAACCGGGGGCTGTAGTGATCTCGTGGAGGCGCTTATCGGCTTTGGAAATGCGGCCACCGGAGCGCCTCAACCGGGTGCCGGTGGGAGGAATGATGGCACCCACTTTAGGCCAAGAAATGTAAAGTGCCTATAGATTCAATGGCTGGAACCCCTCTGTATAAGAAATGGTGAAATGGCCAATATTTGGTCCTGCTTTCAATCGAACAACAGCACATCGAGCATGCAGTTAACAAGCTGGGAGGGCGCCCGCGAAACCATGCTCTATCGTGCTAACGTGCAGTACCTCGGTCGAAAAGATGTTGCTAACGTGCGGATGAATGATATGACAGACGTCGCGGGAGTTTGAACCGCCTGAAACGATATTTTTGAACGTTGTTAAGAAGGGCAAAACTGGCAGACTACGTTCAGGAGTTAATAACCATGATCGTTTCGATGACATCTGACTTTCTCTTTTAGCGGTGACGGATATCATCGCCACGACGACCCGCACAAACACCTACCGTGTTCAGGGTTCACCCAACTCCTTTCGAGGTAGCAGTGGACGTCGCATTCAGTGCAGAACACAGCTTCCGTGCCGCAAGAATCGAGTGGAGTACAGGAAGGGAGAGCTCTAAGACCGCGATAAGCCTCAGTCATTCTGAGAGAGAAGAGAGAGTTTCCTTAGCCACTGATCCGCTCCGCTTGGTGCTAATCATCTGAGCCTACAAACATCTTTTTCTCTCAGTTACGATAAGTAGTTCCCACCGAAGGGCGCCCGACAAACCTCTCACGAGATGATGTCGACCTCCAGAAGGCGCAAAACGGTTTTTTTGAGTGAAATCAATCTCATATGGTCGTGGTCAACTGAACCCAGCCCTAGAAGGATTTACTATCGCTAAAGAAAGAAGGACCAACTAGTATGTTTGTCATGGAATTTAACGCTCTCAACTTTATAAAGCCGTCTTGAGTCCTGATAGATTCATGATCGCCGTGCGATTTTGAGCGACATGAGACTGTCAAAAAGAGCAGACGGTATGAAGATGCCAAATTTGGATAATATATTCGTACATCTACACTAGTAAAAGTGGCAATTGCTACGTTGAAGTATACGGGTGTTGACAGCTTGTCATTTTGTTGTCCTGGACTTGGATCAAAGACTTGATCTCACTCTAGGTATGGCGTGGCTGGAATACCATAAGTCGATCAGCGAAAAGTTTGGTGCCTCTTACTTATCTGCTGATAAATACGAGGCAACAAGCATTCAAGAAAAGTCAGAAATTTTAAATATACCAAAAAACAAAAACACGTTTTGGCGTGGTGCCGAGCTGCAATAGCTGCCATGTAGTATTTGGGATCGTTCGATATTGACAGCAATGATATTAAACGCCTCGAGTAGCGAGCCGCGGTCTCAGGATGAGACAGAAGAAGCAATTGTACATCGCGTTCTCCGGATTATTTTTTAGACGATGAACGACGACTGTTTGTTGTCGTCCCCAGAGTGCAATTTGAGTGGGACCGTATTGACCGGTCATGAGCCGCTGTCTCATATGCTTAGGCCGGAAGAAAATGTAATTGATATAGATTTGTAGTCTCCCGTGTCAGAGTCGATGGAGTTGAAGGATTGTTACATATCGGAATTGAAAAGTCTGACCCAAATGATAAGAAAAATCATTCAACCTTGTCACGATGTGCCAGATCTGCCATAACAAGCAGTGAGAATCACGGGTAATTTGCAAATTGTTTTATCAGACGGAGCTTCTGGGATAGACAAGAAGAATGAATTTTACAACTCTACTTCCGACAACAGCTTATGAATAAGCTGAACGCTTCCATTATTCTGTCGTTAACGCGAGCTAGAAGGATATGCGGCAGATCAGCATGTCAGCCACTTCGTTCCGTGCACATAACCGAATTAGTAAATAATATCATCTACTCAAAGGAATCAACAAGATCCGCCTCATTGCAGTAACAAGCTGCTATATGAGCGGCTGAAAACGTCATAGAGACTGTCCGATTCATCAGCTACGTTCACTCCACTGGTGACGCAGTTGTTCAGGCCAAATCGCAGCTATGCACAAATCTATCTTAAAGATGTAATCGTACAGAGTTGCGTGGAGCACGCGATGCCGGATGTAAAAAACCAGATTGAACCCTCGCAAGCATTACTCTCGTCTATGCGCTGAAATCAGCCATTTGATAATTTGGACAAGTGTCTCTGAGCCGACGAAATTCTTTCCCGGGATCGGGTGTTCACGACCAAAACGGATGCGAACGGCGCTGTGGAGCGTCTGAAGGCGCGTCAAGTTGCGTGCGGAAATGAGCAAGTTTTTGGCATGGAATATGCGATTGCTTTTGCGGTCGCCATGGATATATCGACAGTACAGGTGATTTTAAAAAACTTGCTGCGACGTGGGAGATGCCGGCAACGCATGGTGACAGTCCGAAAGCCTACGTCAAGGCTGACAAGGAGAAGGACCTTAAAATCCTGCTTTATAGATCAAGTGGCATGAACATCAAAGATTAGCAACTAAAGAAACATGGTGCGACCAATGCAAACAAAGTAGCGCTCGAGCTAAATATAAGTCTGAATACACTGAAGCAGGCGGGACGATTATGCAGTATATCGGTGAAATGTGTCTGTACCTTCATTTCAATGGCCTCACTTTCAATCAAGAATCTCGGATCAGTGTTGAAGTTTCTTGGTATAAGAGCGACGGCACGCAACGCACACGCATATGCTCTCAATCGGGAGGAGGCTATTGTCGAGCTGTTCCGTGAACACGGTATGGCATCGGCAAATCCTACGCGTAGACCTATCGGTGATAACTGCTCCGACGACGCCACGCTAGAAAGTTTACTTACTGCTGGAACCCGGCTCCGTGTTGCCAAGTATTCGTTCGTTTCGTCGTTGGTCGGTAGTCTGCTATGCACGCGGCCAGACATTGTGTTTGCGTTTCACAAAGCGAAGCGACAGATACTGGAAATTGGCAAAGAGGATTGCGCGCTACCTCAGTGGAAGCAAAGTGATCCGGCTCGAAATGCGCGGTAATGCCGTCTGCGATGTAAAAGACGCTTGAGTCTTACAGTGATGCCGACTTTGATGCCGACAAGGGAGACAGAAAGTCGCTCACTGGTGATATCGTTCTACTAAATGGGATGCCTGTGAGCTGGGCAGCCAAGAAACAGCGTGGTGTTTCTCTCTCAAGCATGTAAGCTGAATTTGTCGCAGCATCGGTGACGACACACGAGCTCCTCGGGATTCAAATGAATCTTAGAGTGGTAGGACTCGCGCCAGCACAGCCTATGCTGATGCATGTGAATAACCAGGCTGCGATTCGTCAGATCGAAGATGCAGCAGGGCTACCGTACCTCTTTGCTTAGAGAAAGCTCAGCTAAGGTCACCGATCTTTTGGTCTTTGCTAGAACCAGTACAAATGTAGCGGATCGCAATCCGCTACTTCTAACAACGAAGGCAAACAAAAACTCTTTTAGAAATCGAAACTGTATTCAATTGTCTTGGTTGCGGCAGAGCCGCCAATATCGAAAACCCTAAGTTTTAATATAACAAAACCTAATTGATATAGCAATATGCATTACTACTGGCAATCCTGCCACGTGGAGGCTTTTTGTTACTGTGTAGCCATACACTGTGTTATTACTCTAACTGTGTGATACACACCTATGTACGGTCGCCTAATCCCTTTCTTACTAGTCACCTCGACGAGGCACAAGAACAGCAGTTGGAGGCTGCTCACAGGGCGGCTTTCCTGCACTCGTATCCACTTCGGTCTTAGACCCTCGTGTGGAATATGGCTTTCGCTCGGCGGGTCCCTCTACTGAAACAGAAGTCGCGATCACTTGATCTTTAGACGTCGACGTAGTCGGCCCCCCCGCCCACTACACAAGCTGAGCTTGATCAGCAGAAAGATCTGCAAGCTCGCTTTTTGGTTCCCCAATAAATCCCAATAGATCGGTACCGCACTCGACTTTGAGCTTAAAAAGGAGGTGCTCCTTTCCCGCAATGATTCCTGCTGTGCTTGTCCCTGGCGAAACTGCTACAGATGACGATGAGCTCTTTGAGCAATGGGTACAGCGGCACCAGAAATATTCTTCGCTTTTTACCTTACAGTTAAGCCACAAGGAGGTAGAAGTGCGCGTTGAGCGCCGTCTTAGATTTGAGTTTGCCAACTTAAGGCGCAACGCCTACTTCCTGCGTATTGTCGCTCTGCGACATATGGAACTATCCATACCGCCCCTGAGCTCTGTGGTCTCTCACACGGGTGAGTCTACGACCACAGCAGTTCAGGGCTATCGCTTGAGATCAGCTCATGGCTCTCCGGTTTCTGGGCTACTGCCGAGGAGCACGGTACACAAGACGACGCGAGCGTCATGATCCTCCTTATCATAACCTCCTAGTCTTCTGGGCAGTCTTGTCCAAGTGGCACCTCAAACCCTCACGAGCTCTTGGAGTTTGGGTATCTCCGCTACTTCAGAAGATATTGGGCTAAACACTGTCGACGGCGTCGACCCACAATGCGCTCCACATGGTAGTGGATGCCACCATTCTCATCGAGAAGAGTCAGCGGCGGACGATGACTACTTAGTCGATCGCCATCCGGTGACTCGCAATGCTCTTCGAGCGTTAGAGGACAAATTCCGTCGTCATTGTCACTCTGCCAAGCATCTTTCCGAGGTTGTCTACCGCTGTGCGGAAGACCTCGAGAGTCAGAAGCACTTTGTGCCCCGACTGCCTAAAGTTGAGGATTATCGTGGTCTGTCGGAGCGACTCCTAGCCGTCGAGCAGGCAAATACGTCACTTCGTGCGACGGTGGAGCGCCTTGCACCGATGTAATCAAAATTTATTGCACTCCGTGCTCAGAACCAGGTGTCGTTTCAACTTCTGGGTGGCCGAGCCGCTTTGGGTGCCACTCCAGCGCCAACACTTTCACGTTCACTTGCGTCAAGCCTCGCTTGGCCAGGATCTTTAAAGGCCCGACAAACCGTGGACGGAGCTTCGTCTTAAAGACAGCAGAAACTGAACGTATAGTAAGGGTTTTAGCGCTTTATAAACCAGGTCTCCGATCTCAATGTTTTCACCAATTCCTTATCTTTTTCGTCGGCATATTCCTTCTGCATGTCTCGGCTTTCAGCCATCGCATCGCGAACGTGTCGTAAGACACTCAGTCTATAGACAGTAAGTCTCCGACTTCTTCACCCACTGTGAGGGGGCTGACATTAGCTAGCCGTTCTGCTATTCCTCTTCCATCAAGCCGTAAGTCATGGGATGGCGGCGTCAGAGGAATGCGAAGATTAACAAGCCCGTTCACGTATCAAGGCGTATAACCGGTAGATGAATGCACTGCATTGTTCAAAACAAACTCTACGAGTGGCAACATGGCCCTCCAGCGCTTCGGCGTCTCAGCGCAGGCGCTGCGAAGATCGTCTACAACGACGCGTATCACGCGCTCAGACTGACC